CATACCCACAACACCAAATGCTGGTGAGGATGTGGATCAACGTAATCTCTCATCATTGCAGGTAGGAATTCCAAATGGTACAGCCACTTTGGAAGACAGTTTGGCAGTTTCTTACAAAATCAAACGTATTCTTGCCACATGACACAGCAGTCACGCTCATTGGCATTTACCCAAGGGAGTTGAGCACTTATGTCCACACAAAAACTATGGAATGTGCTACGCAAGGACTGAACCCTAATGGAACCTGTGGACATCAGTTAATAATAACGTATCCGTATCGGCTCACCAATTATAATAAAAATAACACAGTAGTGAAAAGACATTAATAATAGGGGAACTATTGTGTTGGGGGAGATGAGTGTGAGGGAATATACAGAAACCCTCTACTTTATCATCAACTTCTCTGTAAATCTAGAATTGCTCTGTATTAGTTTACTAGGACTCTTGTAATGAAATACCACACACTGGGTGGCTTAAAAACAGCAGAGCTTCCTTTTCTCACGTTTCCGGGGGGCTAGAAGTTTGAAGTGAAGTGTCAGCAGCGCTGGGCACCCTCTGAGACTCAAGGTGGGGTCCCCCCTGGCCTCTTCCCAGCTCCTGGCCCTGGCTGGCAGTCCACGGTTCAGAGTGGGAGAAAATATTTGGAAAGACATCTGAGAAGGAATATACAAACTCAACATACACAAAGATATACAAACTGAGCAATAAGAGAACAAACAACCCAACTTACAAATAAGCAAAATACCTGAACAGACATCTCACCAACCAAGCTATTACTGATGGCAAACATGCATGTGAAAAGATGCTCAACATCGTAAGTCATTAGGGAGCTGCAAATTAAAACAATAGTGAGAAACTGCTACATACCCACAACACCAAATGCTGGTGAGGATGTGGATCAACGTAATCTCTCATCATTGCAGGTAGGAATTCCAAATGGTACAGCCACTTTGGAAGACAGTTTGGCAGTTTCTTACAAAATCAAACGTATTCTTGCCACATGACACAGCAGTCACGCTCATTGGCATTTACCCAAGGGAGTTGAGCACTTATGTCCACACAAAAACTATGGAATGTGCTACGCAAGGACTGAACCCTAATGGAACCTGTGGACATCAGTTAATAATAACGTATCCGTATCGGCTCACCAATTATAATAAAAATAACACAGTAGTGAAAAGACATTAATAATAGGGGAACTATTGTGTTGGGGGAGATGAGTGTGAGGGAATATACAGAAACCCTCTACTTTATCATCAACTTCTCTGTAAATCTAGAATTGCTCTGTATTAGTTTACTAGGACTCTTGTAATGAAATACCACACACTGGGTGGCTTAAAAACAGCAGAGCTTCCTTTTCTCACGTTTCCGGGGGGCTAGAAGTTTGAAGTGAAGTGTCAGCAGCGCTGGGCACCCTCTGAGACTCAAGGTGGGGTCCCCCCTGGCCTCTTCCCAGCTCCTGGCCCTGGCTGGCAGTCCACGGTTCTGGCGGCTCACAGCAGCATCTGTCCGAGCTCTGCCTCGTCAGTGACCGCTCCCCCGACACACCCCTTCTGTGCATGTTTGTGTCTGGTCCCAACTTCCTCTTTTTACAAGGGCAGCAGTCATACTGGCCCAGGACCCATCCCAATGCCCTCATCTTAATTATCTACAAAGACTCTATTTCCAAATAAGGTCACATCCACACGTACCGGAGACTTCCACTTATCTTTTGGAAGGACACAATTCAAATCATAACGTGCTCTAAAACATAAAATTGTCAATTTAAAAAAATCCTCTTTCCTTCTATGCCATAGAAGGAAGATAGGGAGAGACATGAAGAAATAACTCCTCTATCTTTGGCTTAATTCTCTGGCAAAATATGTCTTCTAGAGATATTTGACTAGTGGTGACTGTAGACTCTAAGACTTGACGGTGCTTATAATATGATTTTCTGTCATCCTCAGTATTCTATTGAGGTAGAGGCAAAAGATTTAAGTTGCAGGAAAAAGGATCTCATTCTTATTCTTATATGCCATCTCTAAAAAATGAAAAATGCCTCAAAATATAGGCTATCACGGACATCAGTGTCTAGAAAGCAGCAAATTAAACTTGGGAGTTTTAACGACCGTTCCTTATGTTCAAGAGCATGGGGGCAAAGGGTCAGGACAGAGGACGGGAGGAATCCGGTTTGTTGTGTATCTTATTAACCTAGTAAAATGGCTGGTTACCTGACTTTGTTGGAATATGTACTAAAGAGAACATGGCCTCAGATCTGCTTCCAAGTCAGTACCATGTCCATCTGTTCTGAGCCATAAGCTGCGATCTGGACCTCAGCCACCTCTCTGTCTCCTCACATGAAGCAGTATCTCTAGGACAGCAGAGGTTCATCTGTGCCAGACGCAAGTGGCTGCCTGCTGCTTGTCCCTTCTTCCTGTTTTGTTTGCTTGAGACAATGTTCTTAGTAAAAAACAGTCACCTCCTGAACTCCGTCATAGCTGGGGGTTCCGGGAGACCTCATCTTCTGGAGTCATGTTTAGAAGTCCCCAAAAAGGGCGACCCTTCCTAAACCGAAGAACAGCGGTCCCAACCTTGGCCTCTGCCCAGGTCCCAGGTGTGGATGCAGTGCCTTGAAGTCCAGCAACCACCTCTTGACTGTGACTGTGCTGGTCTCACTCTCAGGAAAGGGGAGCTGATCAGTGGAAGGAATCTGGGACGCTAATGGAATTATGGGGCTGCTCGTTTTCTCCTCCCACCTTTTTTCTTACAGTTTTATCTGTTGAAGGAACTAGGTCATTCCGCCTTTGCAAGTCACCACAGTTGGTGCTTCGCTAATTGCATCTCTGTGCTGCCGGTATGTTCCTCTCTGCCTGTTCCCTATAAATTGATAGCTCCCCAGGCCTGCTCTGATTCAAGTTTGACCCTTTGGGGGTGTGGGAGGAAGGTGTATTCACAGATAGTGGTGTAATAACTTCCATCACAAGACTCAGAATGTCTGTTTGTCTGTCTTAAGTGCTATTTGCAGCCTTGAGGATAGTCGGGGGTTCCAAATATATGATACTGTGATTTTATTGTTCCTTCATTTATAAGCAGGAATAAAGGGAAACTTGATTGTCAACTATTTGGTTGCTTTGAGGAACAATTAGTACAGAAAAGATAATATAAACTCTTGATTCTTTCCCTTTATTCATCATTTTTAAAAAGAATAGGTTCATTTCCTAGCATCCTTAAAAGCAATCAATGAAGAGGTTTTTAATATGTTCATTTGTTTGTTTGTTTTTTTTGGAATAACTCCTGGACTTAAATATGTGTTGTGTTTAAGTCCATAGCTATCACTATTTTTAGCGGTGCTCAGATAGTCCTACGTTGGCCCCTGGAAGTCTCTTCAAGTGGCTTCTGAACCGATTTCTCAGCTCCAGCGTCTCTGCTGGCTTCCTCACTGTCTGCTGTGACAAGATGCTACAGTCCCATCTTGTGTATTTCCTGGAACCAGCCACTTGGCCATTTCTAGGAAACGGTATTTAAAGACCTAAGTATGGTGCTTGCGGCTCCTATTGCTAGTGGGTCGGCTGTGGGATTAATATATAAATCAAGTATAGAAATCAAATGTATAATCATATATGATTTGATAATTTTTCCTGTATTTCCTGATACATGATCAAGAACAGAACAAAGAAGACCAAAACAGTTTCCGTGACCGAATTGCCCTTGCTGTTGTTTCAATACCACGTAAGACGTGGTGGCGCCCCAGGAGACTGGAGACTGCTGAGGACTAAGTTTAGAGTTAGTTAATGGTTGTGTATCAAGCCCCCCACACAGAATTCTATTATTGTAAACATGTATTTGCTTAATAAATACAAAGGGAGCCCTCTCAGCACCACTCAAGTGCTGTTATGCCTCTAGACCCCTGGCTGGTCCTTTCAGATCTTCAACATCTCATCGCGTCCCCCCCTTATCTGTGGGTCAGAGGCAGCCAGTAGCTGACAAGTGGCGCCCGAACAGGGACCCTGAAACTCAGAGCAGGGAAGCTCTGAAGATCACTGATCCGGTAAGACTCCCAGGAAATTGCACGTAGGGAGAGGATCGAGACATCAGGGACACTATAATGGACCAAACTGAAACCAGAGCAGCTAACTGGAGGATTACTTAAAATTACTCCGTGCCCTCCTGAAAACCTCAGGGGTGAAAACTTCTAAAAAAGATTTTGCTCAACTTGACGAATATATTAAAAACATTGTTACTGGTTGCTACCACAAGGAACCCTCAGACAAGCTGATGGGACTAATGTATTAAAAGATTTCAAAAAGGCTCACAGACAGGGAAACATTATCCCTGTGCCTGTTTGGATAGATCAATAGCACCCTAATAAAGAAAACCTGGCAGCCTTACACACATTAGTTCAAGAACAGCTTCAGCTAGATAGATTAGAATTTTCCACGAGCCCATGGAATTCCCCTGTATTTGTTATAAAAAAGAAGTCAGGAAATTGGAGACTCTTACATGACTTAAGACAAATTAATGCAGTCCTTAAGCGTATGGGTCCTTTGCAAGAAGGCCTCCCTTCTCCAGCTATGACTCCGGAAGACTGGGACATGGTTATCATTGATCTTAAAGACTGTTTTTTGTTTTTTTTTTTACAATTCCTTTAGCTGTGGCAGATAAGGAAAAGTTTGCTTTTACTGTACCCTCCTTAAATTTACAAGCTCCTTCAGAAATATTTCAATAGAAAGTACTTGCTCAAGGAATATTAAACAGCCCTACCATTTGTCAAAATTATGTGCACAGGGCTCTCTTGTCCCCTCGTGGTGTGACCCAGGAGCCATCTGTCCTCTCACTGTATCTCTAAATAAAAGCCTCCCCTTAGCTCTCCTACCTTGACTGTTTGCTAAGTTCATTTAACAGCTCCGCAAACAAGAACCCCGGCATCATCTTTGGGGGCTCATCCGGGATAACTTCAGAGGTGAGTTATCAGCATCCAACCCTGCCTTTTCTTTCACTGTCCTTATAGGAGAAAGCCGTCTGTGGCACACAACATCGGGTGCTCATCAGCCACTTAAATGGGACTAGCCCGGCTGCTGATCTCACTGAAGTCTCGAGTGACAGGTTCCCCTGCGTCTCCCTCAGTGGATCCCCCGTCTTCCTTGGGAGCTGGGAAAGTTACCTGAGTGGAGGCCAAGATTCCCCTTTAGAGGCATCTCCCTGGATGCAAGGGACTGAGGAAGGCCATGGGCACCTGCGAGAGTCTAGGCTGAGGCTACACTTCAGCGGCTCCTCAAAGGCCGGTGTATCTGGACTCAGACCCCGACAGACCAACTGGGTATCTATGAGGAGTGTCTCTCTTTCTGTCTCTCTTTGACTTCCAGCCTGCTTCTTCAGGCCTCCCTGGCCTCTGAGTGAGGCAGGGGGCGTCCCTAACTCTCTTCTAACTTCATCAACGTCACGGAACCCAATGCCAACCACCGCAAGGTAAGAGATGGCTCTTGTTCCTGACTAAATGCTGCACTCTTTATCTCATAAAATGTGTCTGAGCACCCGTTAGCCATTTAAAAGACAATTAACGTCAGCTACCAGTCTTAAGTCTCTGATTAGAAAGGCTTGGCCCCTGAGAGAAGTATACAGTATAATAAGATTATGCAGCTAAATACATTTTGATACAAAGAAGGAAAATGGTCAAAAATTCCATAACTACAATATGGTATTAGTTTTCTAAATTTTTTTTTGGTGAAAATCTATTCTTATTGGGTTCATTATTATCTTCAAAATTTGGGAGTTTTTTAAACTAGACTCCCTGAAATGGAAGAAAATTATCTTCTGCAATACAGCCTGGCTTTAAATGACTAGAGCTAGAACTGTACTTGCATTCCACTTCCAGTGCCCTGGACACACACAGTCCCTGTCAGTATGGAGCCTTCATGGGCCCTGTTAGTCTGGGGCCATCTGAACCTTAACCCAGTGATGTAAACTGCTCACCCTTGGAGTGTATTCTTGAAAACTGAGATACTTTTAATCAAGTAAGCTAAAAAGAAAGAAGGCAGTTGAATATTAGTAACTCAAATCCTTGTTATCAGTTTATCTTTCTGTGTATATGTCCTTTTATGAAAAGGGTTGCTAACTGTAGTCATTATGTCTCATTCTGTATGTTTGTGTGTCTAAGTGTGTAAATGAAAAATATTTTTCTACCTCTGGATGGTATTAATAAAAATTGATTTAAAGACAAGTGCTTGTGAAAATTGGGCATTCTAAAACTTCCAGAAAATTCTAATAGAAGGTATTAAGCAGTAATGCTAATTTAAGTTGAACTAAAACACACATGGCCTTATGGTTATCAGCTGCCTAAGTTTACCTAAAGTCATTGAAGTTGATGTTATCTGTTAAATATTTCAAGAAAAAATGCTTAAAGAGAGGCTTGACTTTGTCCGTTGTTTGGTAAAAGTTTTGTAAGCATAGGTGTTAGGAATGAGTAAACTAAATAAGTGTAGCAAGTAAACCTCTTAATAGTGTGTTAATGTATTACAGTGTGTTACAGTGTGTATACCTACAAACAGCCTGAGAATCTTTGTGATAACCTAAAATCTTAATGTTTTGCTAAGTAGACATATTTTGTGCTCAGAGATTATACTGTAAAGTACATGGTTCCAGGAATTATAAAGTGTGTTAATAAATTTGTTGATCTAAATAATGCTAGTGCAATGGTTTACAATAGCCCACCTCTCAGTATTCACTGAAAATTAAAGTTCCTAATGGTTTTAAGGTCTAATTAAAGCGACTTAAAGTAATAAAGAACAGCATCTTACTACACTGATGGACAGTGACTGTAATGGGGTTTGTGGGGGGGACTTGGTGATGGGGAGAATCTAGTAAACATAATGTTCCTCATGTAATTGTAGATTAATGATACCAAAATAAAAATAATAAAAATAAAGTAATAAAGAAAACATCTCTACTTGCTAAAAAAAGATGTGTGTTTTAATAAAAGAAAGTATAAGAAATAGAAATTCATTTTGTTGAGGGTAAAAGAAGGTAACTGTTCTAAAGTACAGCTGTTCATTTAAAGAGGGAGAACACTGAATGTAAAAAGGTTGTAGAAAGTTTATAGAAGAATTATTGATATGGTCATGCTATGTGAAATTAAAGCAAATAAATCTTGATATCAAATACACAGCAAAATTAGAATTTTTTTTTCGGTATCATTAATGTACAATTACTTGAACAATATTATGGTTACTAGACTCCCCCTATTATTATCAAGTCCCCTCCACATACCCCATTACAGTCACTGTCCATGAGCATAGTAAGATGTTGTAGAATCATTACTTGTCTTCTCTGTATATACTGCCTTTCCTGTGTGTCTTGCCAATGGGTTTCAGCCCTGGGGAAGTTCACTATGGATTCAGTGTGACCAAAATAAATGACAGCAAAACGTTCTTGGGGGTGAAAGGGTTATACCCAACTTTATTTCCAGGCGGCAGGGAAGTGACTAAAATCCTGTTCACTCAGAGCGAGTCTGCATGCAGCAAGCCGGTCTCTGTCTCTGGGCCCCTCTGCCCACACAGCCGTCCTCTGGACCTCTCTGCACAGTCATCCTGCACGGCCATCCTCTGGGCCTCTCTGCACAGTTGTCCCGCACAGCTGTCCTCTGGGCCTCTGTCCTCGGTGCTGCCACCACTCCAGTCTCTGCTCTGCTCTCCTGCAGCTTTGCAGCCCTGCCACCAGAGCACTGGATGGAGCTCTTTATGTAGAGTCAACAACCATGTATTGCCCACAGGTGTGCAGTGAGTTAGTCAACCAGGGCCAAGTGAGAATCCTGGCCACAGGAACTCTCATTTTATCCACACTGTGTCCCCCCCACCCACTACATTATGTGTGCTAATCGTAATGCCCCCTTTTTCCCCCTTCTCCCTCCCTCCTCACCCACCCTCCCCAGTCCCTTTCCCTTTGATAACTGTTAGTCCATTCTTGGCTTCTGTGATTGTGCTGCTATTTTGTTCCTTCAGTTTTTGCTTTGTTCTTATGCTCCACAGATGAGTGAAATCATTTGGTACTTGTCTTTCTCTGCCTGGCTTATTTCAGTGAGCATAATACCCTCTAGATCCATCCATGTTGTTGCAAATGGTAGGATTTGTTTTCTTCTTATGGCTGAATAATATTCCATTGTGTATATGTACCACATCTTCTTTGTCCATTCATCTGCTGATGGACACTTAGGTTGCCTCCATTTCTTGGCTATTGTGAATAGTGCTGTGATAAGCATAGGGATGCATATGTCTTTTTCAAACTGAGCTTCTGCATTCTTAGGGTAAATTCCTAGGAGTGGAATTCCTGGGTGAAATGGTATTTCTGTTTTGAGTTTTTTGAGGAACCTCCATACTGCTTTCCACAATGGTTGAACTAGTTTACATTCACCAGCAGTGAAGGAGGGTTCCCCTTTCTCCACATCCTCACCAACATTTGTTGTTGTTTGTGTTTTGGATGTTGGCCATCCTAACTGGTGTGAGGTGATATCTCATTGGGTTTTAATTTGCATTTCTCTGATTATTAGCGATGTGGAGCATCTTTTCATGTGCCTGTTGGCCATCTGAATTTCTTCTTTGGAGAACTGTCTGTTCAGCTCCTCTGCCCATTTTTTAATTGAATTATTTGCTTTTTGTTTGTTGAGGTGTGTGAGCTCTTTATATATTTTGGATGTCAACCCTTTATTAGATCTGTCACTTATGAATATATTCTCCCATACTGTAGGATGCCTTTTTGTTCTATTGATGGTGTCTTTTGCTGTACAGAAGCTTTTCAGCTTGATATAGTCCCACTTGTTCATTTTTGCTTTTGTTTCCCTTGCTTAGGGAGATATGTTCATGAAGAAGTTGCTCATGTTTATGTCCAAGAGATTTTTGCCTATGTTTTTTTCTAAGAGTTTTATGGTTTCATAACTTACATTCAGGTCTTTGATCCATTTTGAATTTACTTTTGTATATGAGGTTAGACAATAATCCAGTTTCATTCTCTTGCATGTAGCTGTCCAGTTTTGCCAACACCAGCTGTTGAAGAGGCTGTCATTTCCCCATTGTGTATCCATGGCTCCTTTATTGTATAAATCGGCCATATATGCTTGGGTTTATATCTGGGCTCTCTGTTCTGGAAAAATTAGAATTTTGTTCTCAGTTAAAAGGACAAAGTTTTCTTAAACTGTTAGTCTGCTCTTAATGTTGAAAGATTGCAAAGAGTTTTCTAATTGTTTTATCAAAACAGTTTCTCATGCTTAAAGTCTCAATGAGTTGTCTAAGTATTTAAGAAAATGAGACCTTAATATTAAAAGGACTAAAAGCTAAGCTTTGCCAACAACTGTGTAATCTGTATTTGCCTTTAAAACCTTTTATTGTCATTCTGGTTAAATAGATAAGTATTGTTTCATAGTGAATTATGATTCTATTTAGGCAAGTGCCTTAAAAATTTTCTGATAGCTTCCCAAAATCAAATTCAAAAAGGTGCTTTTTACCTCTAGTTCATGCTGATATTTTCCAGAGGGCCCCTGAAGAATGTCAGAGGAATTTTTTCTATCATCAGTGAAAATATTTGGCTAATTTCGCTTATTTATCTGATATATATTTACCTGGAAAGCATTGTCAAAGGGAATGATGCTAAACTTTGTTGCTGAATGTTTTATGTTACAGACAGAAATATCCAAATTTCTTATGCCAACTGTCTTGTAGTAAGCTCTCATTAGATCTTTAACCATGGCCATTTGTAAGTCTTTTGTCATTTATAGTCACTGTTTTATTACTCCTAAACTAGTAAAGAACTAGATTTCAGCAGAACAAGTATTGGTTACATAATATTAACTAAACTAAGGGAAATGATTTTGTGGCTTTTTGTTTCAAATGTTGCTGATAAAGTGTTATAAGCTTTTTCTCTTAAGCTGACTGACAACAGTTTTGTAAATCATAATACCTTTATAAGCAGAATTGAAACATTTATCTTTCTCTCTACCTGACCCCTCCAGAATTTAAAAACTTCCAGTATTTTTATATTTTATGGCAGTATGTTTATTTGCATAAGCTCAGTAAGAATCTGCTTTCCTTGTAACAGGACCAATTAAAAACACTGGTTAAGTTACCAAGGCTTTGACTGGAACGTCATACCTGAGAGACAAGTGTGTAAACTCACATATGAACAGACAGCTTTAAGGAACAGGTTGACTTTATAAAGCCAACAAAGCCCCTTAGAACTGGCCTGGGACCTTGCTTACAGGGTTCCCAGCAGCCTTACCAGGTGGGTAAGGAAGGTCACTTCCTGGCAAGTGCGGGAACCTCAGGAATGTCTTGGAGACCTCAAGAGAGGAATTCACCCAAATCTACAGGTACTGCAGGCAAAACTTGATGGCACATCTGGCTTGGCTTTCTGGCCTCTAGGGGCCTTTAAAAGTCCAATCTGAGATTCCTTATCAAAACTTCCAGCAAAGCACACTTAAAAGA